TTGAGGAGCCCTCCCCACACCTCCCCCTGGGGCCGGTTCTCGGTTCCCGGGCTCCGTTTTTCCCTCAGGGTCCCCCCGCCATGAGGCACTCGCCGCTCCGGTTCCTCCTCGCCATCGCCCCGAGGGGCCGCGGGCAGCCCCGCGGTGTCGCCTCAGGGTCCCCGGTGTCTCTTCAGGGTCCCCCGTGCCTCCTCAGTGCCCCTGGTGCCTCCTCGGTGCCCTCCGGTGTCCCCTCAGTGCCCCTTGGTGTCCCCTCAGGGTCCCCCAGTATCCCCTCAGTGCTCCCCGGTGTCCCCTCAGCCCCTCACAGGATCCCCCCCAGTGTCCCCCCACAGCTATGGGGTCGCAGGGCGCTGAGTTCATCACCCGGACCCCCCCACAGCAAGGATCAAGGGGAAGGAGAGGGCTCGGGAGGCTGCAGGGAGGAGGATGATGATGATGATGATGAAGGTGTGGAGTTCGGGACGCTCTCCACCAGGTTTTCTGCTAGGAAGTTCTACCACAAAGCCACGCCGCGGAGCCGGGACTTAAAGCTGGAAGAAGAGGGAGAGGAGGACATGGGAAGGAAGCCCCGGCGTGGGCCCAGGAACACCCCGTACTGGTACTTCTTGAGGTGCAAGGCGCTCATCAAAGAAGACAAGGTTTGCTCTTTGCTCGTTTTTGGTAATAATATTTAACTGCTGCCAAACAGAGCGCTCTTGGGTTAGGATTAGAGTAGTTTTGTTGGAAAACACTTGCAAAGTTCATTGATTCCAACCTTCCGACTGCTTCAGAGCAAGAAGTTAAAGTTGTAATCAAAAGACATGCACACATGCTGTTTACCTGAGTTGCATTCACACCACCTTCCTACCTCATTTTTCCCTTTCCAAATAGGAATGCGGTTAATTAATCATTTTTGATGGTGTCCAGACAGTGACTTCTAGAAATTCAGCCACTCCTCAGTGCTGTCTCCACTCAATTAGTCCAATGTCCCCTCTGGCAGTCATGGCTTTAATATTTTTATGCCATCCACCTCTCATCCCAAATCCCTGCAACACCATCTGTATCATCTTACACGCTTCATTCATATCTTTACAGAAAGCAGCAAGAATTTGTGAGGAATCCCGTGCTCTGTAGGACTTCCACCACAATCTGACTGCAGCTGAGGATATTGATATATTGTGACTGATTCTGTTGCTGCCTCGTAATGGATTTTCCTTTTTCCCATAGCTGGCAGAAGCTCTGGAGCTGTTTGAGGTGCAGATGCTGAAGGAAGAGCGAGTGCAGCCGGAAGAAAGCAATTACACTGTTCTAATTGGCGGCTGTGGCAGGGTTGGCTACGTGAAAAAGGCATTCAAGCTGTACAATGATGTACGTAGGTTTATGTTCTCTGCTCTCTCAAACCTTAAGTTTTCTCAGCTAAAACTGTTTCTAACATTTGGTGTGTTATTCTCTCTCCAGAATGCCTTTTAGTGCTTACATCTTCTTAGCCTGAAACTTTTAAAACCAAAGTAGGAAATTCTAAAACTCTTTTCCTAAAAAGTTAGTCCTGTGTTTTCTTGTCTTCTCTTAGATGAAAAAACGAGGCTTAACTCCCACCGAGCCCACGTACACAGCCCTGTTCAACGCCTGTGCTGAATCACCATGGAAAGATTCAGGCCTGCAGAGTGCCCTCAAATTACGGCAGCAGCTAAAGAGCAAAAACCAAGAGCTGAATCTGATAACTTACCACGCGCTGCTGAAAGTCTGTGCCCTGTGCTCAGATCTCAGGATGTGCTTTGACGTGCTGAAGGTAAGTACGTGACTTTTCTTGTGTCAAGTGTATTCTGCTGCAGTTAAAGTTCCTGGGCTATAATCTGTAATTATCTAAACTTAAAGTGTTTCTATTGCATTGATCTTTGTTTTCATACAATGAAATCATCCAAGTATGTACAAAATTTAAGTAGATAAGATGAGGCAGCTACAGGCCTAAACAGAGGTTGGCTTTGAAACTGTCGTCAGGTATCAAGAATTTATTGAACAGTTTTTGGGGGGCTTACAACTATTGTGTCTCTTTCCCTCATTTTGAAGACCCATGTATTGGTATGTACCTTCCTTTTAGAGCTCTGCAGCAGTTTTTCCTCAAAAAGGCCAGTCTAGGAGTTGCTAAAAGGCTTGCTATCCCTGTGCCCAAATTCCCCATAGCTCCCGTAAGGAAGAAGCTAGGATCTATGCAGGCATTTCAATTTTTTTTATTCTGGAGCAATCGTTCTGCTCAGTGCTGGGAGCTCACCCTATGCTTTGTTGCTACTCTGTCCCCAGAAGATAACAGAAGCATTTGAGCTTCGCAGCCAGCTGCAACAAACTGTTTGGGTAACTGGGAAGTTCAATCCTCTCTTTGCTCTCTCTCCTTTTTTTTTTTAGGAAATAGTGCAGAAAGGTCATGTTCCCACAGCTGAGACCTTCAGCTTCCTTCTCATGAGCTGCATAAAGGACAGTGAAAGCGGCTTCCGATACGCCTTACAGGTTTGTCTTTATGGACTAAATAAGGAAAATACGCTTCTGTACAGTTAACTTGTCATTTCAATATATAGAAAACAGCAGGTTACGATGAGCTGATGAAATCAGGAGGAGCTCAGCACCTCCTAGGACAAATTCTTTAAACTAGACTTCCATCAGGACATCCTGTAAGCTGGTGAGGTGCCCTGAATGATGTCTCAGGACCGTACTAGCTTGAGGTGGCTGCTCACTGCCCACTGCCACTTCACCTCCTTGTGCCGTAAACGTGCTTACAACCTGCTAGAAGTGCTCCTGCTGTTCACTGTTACTTACATTTGATGTTCATCTTCCCCTCTGCAGGTTTGGAAGCAGATGGCTAAGCTTGGAATAAAGGCCAACAGCCACACGTACAACTTGATGCTGCGTGCTGCTAGAGACTGCGGAATTGGCGATCCGGTTGTGGCCTCCCAAGTACTGCTCAGCCCTGCTGATGGGAGCTCACCTCAGCTAAGGCTTGCACCCAGCACACAGAAGGTGAAAAACCAGAGAAAGAAGGGATCGGAGGGAGCACCTGCTGTCCAGCTGGACGTGGAGGCCATGGAAAAGCAATTATTTCAGCAGAGTTCGGTGCAGCCTGAAGAGCTGATCAGGCAACAAAGGAAAGATGTGAATGAGGCGGAAATGAAACTAGTACCAGCTGGTCTCAACAGCAGCACTGAAGCATTGGTGAGAGGAGATCAGAATGAGCTAGAGCAGGACCAAGCATGCCTAAGCCAGAAACTGCATTTGTGCAACCTGCCCAACTTGCTGGATTTGCAGGTTCCTGATGCAGCTGTGGTCTCCTTAGGGACGGTGGCCACGCCATCCCATAGACTGGCTCTGATGGGGGACGTGGAGGGCTTCTTGAACAAAATGAAAGAGGACAACGCAGAACCCAACATTAAAACATTCACGTTACTGGCTGAGCTGGTGGAACCCCAAAGCCCGTCAGAATCCTCTCTTCTGGCACTCCTGGATGAGCATAAGGTGAAAGTAGACGTGACTTTCTTTAACGCTTTAATAAGGAAGAAAAGCAAACAGGGAGACCTAGAAGGAGCAAAGGTAAGGAAAAACCCAGAACCAGCCTCGTTGTTCCTTCTTGTTTCGGGCCTCCAGTTGTGCTGTGTTTCATTGTGACACCTGCTTCTCTGTCCACAACAGAAACTGGGAATCTAACGCTGCTTTCCACTCAGCAGTGCTACAGCGAGGCTTTCTGGAAACCGATGTCCATATTTGTATCTTGCAGAGCCTGCTGCCAGCTCTCGCGAAGAGGAGCCTCTCCCCTAACCTCCAGACGTTTTGTAGCTTGGCAATTGCTTGCCACCGAGAGAAGGATGGGTTGCAGCTGCTCTCAGATTTGAAGGTAATAAAAATAAACCTCTACTGCTTAGGGTTCAAGCTGCAAAAAGCCAGAGGAGCGTTAATGCTTCTAAAAAGCCCTGCTGCGGCTTCTAGGGTGTGATTTAATTCCCTAAACCCACAGCTCTAGAGCAGCTGACAGCCCGTAGCTGTGCTGGGATAGGAGAGGAGTCGGGGAAGAGAAGGTGCTGGAGCAAGAGCTGTGCTCCTTGTGTGAGAGGTGCCAGAACAAAAAAGGCAAGCAGGAAACCCTGTGCTAATTGGCAGCTAATTTGTTGTTTCCAGACGTCCGGAATAACTCCCAACAAGTACATCTACAGCGCCCTCATCAGTGCTGCTGTGAAGCAGCTGGATTACAGCTACCTCACGGAGATCCTGCGAGACATGAGGAATAATGAAGTGCCTCCCAACGAGGTCATCATACGCCAGCTGGAGTTTGCAGCACAGTACCCACCAAAATTTGACCGGGTGAGTGGCCATGACAGGCCGCGGGGTGAGGGACACCACCGAGGGAGGGGAGGTGTGAGTGCCCAGGCTTCTTCCTTTGGGTTTGTCTGATCTGGTGGCATTTCCTCAGCAGCTCTTTACCTAATAACAGCCTGTAGCTGCTGCATGCTGGTATTACGAGCTCTGTTCTAATCAAATTCTTTTTTTTTGTTGGCTTTCTCTTTGCAGTATAAGTCAAAGAACCCCTACCTGGTGAAAATTGACGGCTTCCGTGGCTACTACCACCGGTGGTTAAAAGTCATGGCAGGAGAGGAGACGCCCCACCCCTGGGAGAAATACAGAACAGCCAAACGGTCAGTGGGGGAGGATAAGGAAGAGGATGTGCAGGGGAAGCTACGCCAGGATGCTGCAGCTGACAGCTAGGTCCTGCGTGTTCCGTGTGCTGGAAGAACTCGGAATTCACTCCCATAAACTGCCTCCGTGTAGGAAAGCTGTTTTGTAGTTCCAGGAACCCAAGTTCTTTGCGATAACCACTAAATAAAATATTATTTGTCCTCTGTTCCAAGGAGAAGCAAACACATTTCCAGTGAGTTTCCTTAAGATACTTAAACAAATCACTTTAAAAAACAAACACACAACCCCACATCCAACAGGAGAAGAGGGGCACAGAGGAGTTTTGCCAGAAGACTGCTCCGGTCTCTCAGGAAAGCAGACTTTATTTTAAAATCAATGGCTACACAAAAAGCTACTCCAAAACAACATCCTTTGTACCTAGCATCCAGGCGAGCACGTTGCTGGTTTAATCGCAGTACAGAGCTATCCAATCACGCAGGAGGTGGGTATAATTGCACTCACAGTCCACGGTGCAGGACGAGTTCAGAGTTCAAAAGGAAATATTTGGGTCTCGGTGCTTCACCCAGAACAACCTCGGCATCCGCAGTGAGTGCATTCAATGATTCTACCCTAGAAAAGAGACACAACAGCGATATTTCAGCCAAGTTCTGGTGGGCAGGCAGTCCCCCCGGCCTCAGCCTCGCTGCAGAGGCTGTGTTTTGAAGGGGTCTGTGTGAAAAGGCTGCCTACAGCCTAATTTTATATAGTTTTCTACACTTTAATAACTTGGAGCAACCACACGCCGAAGCTGGCAGCAGCTTTAAAGCACCCAGATATTAAATCTACCAGCAAAAGGTAAAAATTGTTAGAGCTAAAGGAAATTACCAGAAGGAAGAACATTCCCTCCCCTGCTGTCCCCGACCAGGGTGAGGTTAGAAAGGGAGAAGGGCAGGGAGAAGCTGAGAACTTACCACTTCCAGCTTGCTTTTGGGGACCCTGCAGATGCAGTTGGTCCCGAAGTTGGTGTCCCGTGTCTGGATGCAGCGCAGGCAGCAGAGGTTCTCGTAGCCCTGCTTCTTCCACTTGGCGATCAGGTTCTTGTCGGCGTATCCCTCCTTGATGCAGTACTCATAGAGCTCTGCCAAAAAGCAGATGTTATTAGCACAAGTAGCTCCCAGGAAGTGTTTTTGAAAACAGCACGAGGAATTTCTAGCAGTGCTCACGAGCTGTTAGAACTACGCAGGGACCAGCTTTCCCTCCGCCCTCCCTCCCTTCATCACCCCGGTTTGGGTGCACCCCCAGGCAGACACCTCACCAGGGGGAGGCATTTGTCCTTCTCACCTCTGCTGATGGCTTTTCTTTTGTAGAAGAGGTCAAAAATGTAACGTGTCTTCTGGTGGTGGATTCTGAAGATAGGCCAAAGCGATTCCACTTTCCTCTTCCCCTCGTGGGGCTCGGTCTCCGCTGGGAGGGAACAACAAACATCAGATCCCAGCAGATTTCAGCTGATTCTCCCAGATTTCCACCTTCCTCTGTAAGATTAGAAACTGCTCCAGGAACATTCCTGACTTTAACAACTTGGAGTTAGGAATGAGCTTAATGGAGAGGATTCCAAGGAGAAGGACGTGGCCTGGCAGGGTCCCTTTAGAAAATAGAAGCTAAATTATGAGGACAGGAGGAAGGAGGTGACCTGCAGAGGGACGGAGCTGACTTCATGGCTGATGGATCTCGTCGGACCAGAGCAACAGCACGGGCAGGAGCTACCGGTCCCACTGCATGCATTGGTCACAGAGCACCCCACAACAGGCGCACTCCAGCCCTCTGCCCGGTGACCCAAACACACCCCAAAAAAGTTCAGGACAACCCAGGGCTCACCCCGTGTTCGGGGGGTAGCCGGGGCGTTAGGGACAAGCTGGTTTCGGGGCCGTTACCTTCCCGCATCTTCTGGTCCAGCTCATCCAGCGTGGGCTCGATCAGCTCCCAGCCGTCGGGGGCGGCTTCCTGCTGCGCTTCACCTTCGGCATCGCCGCGGGGACGGGGATGGGGGGGGAAGCACCGGAGTCACCGCCTGTCCGCTCCCCTGAGCGGGCACCTCGGATCCCTCAGAACAGCTGCAAAGAGACGGGGGGGAGGCTGCGGGGACCCCGAGGGGCTAGGGTGCGGCCGGTGCCCCTGGTGCCCTCCGGTGCCCCCCTGGTACCCTCCGGTACCTCCCGGTACGCTCCCGGTGCCCTCCCGGTAAACCCCTGCCCTCCCGGTACTCCGGTACCCCCCGGTGCCCCTCCGGTACCCCCCGGTGCCTCCGGTACCCCCCCAGTGTCCCTCCGGTACCTCCGGTACCCTCCGGTGCCCTCCCGGGCCCCCCAGTACCTCCGGTACCTCCCGGTACCCCCGGTATCCCCGGTGCACTCCCGGTACCCTCCCGGTAACCCCCCGGTGCACTCCCGGTGCACCCCGGTAACCCCCCGGTCCTCCCGGTGCCCCCCGCGGCCTGGGGCTGCCACCGGGACGGTTCCCGTTGGCCCCGGGCCTGGTCCTGGCCCTACCCTCGTCCCGCTCCCTCCCGGCCCGCTCCGGTCCTCACTGGCCCGTGGGGTCCTCTTCCCCTCTCCGCGCCGCGCTGAGGTGCCCCATCAGTGCCTGAAAAAACCCTCCTTTCTCCACGCCCTTCCCACCGTTCTCCCTCCCTCAACCGGGAACCGTAAAAGCTCCACCTCAGCCTCAGGGCCGCGCGCTGCCTTCTCGTTTCGCACCGGGAAAAGACGCGGAGCGACGGCGGGCGAGGAGGCGCTGAGCGGACAGCCCCGAAGCGGGGGCCTCGCGGGGCGGGCTCTGAGTGGGCGGAGCGGGCTCCGAGGGGGGCGGGGCGCGAGGAGGGGGCGGCTTCCGCTTCCGGGTCGGCGCTGGGGCCGGGGGGGCCGCGCTGCAGCCGCCATCGCCGCGATGCCGAAAGGAGGTGGGGGCGGGGCGCCCGGTTCGGGTTTAATTTCATTTTTTTCCTTTAATTTATTTATTTGGGGTCTTTTATGAGGCGTTGGGGGCGGCGCGGGCGCAGCCGCGGGTCGGGGCTGGGCCGGGGCCCCCCTGAGGCGCTGGGGCCTTGTGGGGGGGGCTGGGCGCTGGGGGCTCCCCTGGGATGGGCTCAGAATGCCGGGTTTGGGTTTTTTTGCTATTTTTTGTTATTTTTTGTTATTTTTTGGGGTCTGTGTGAGCCGGGCGTTGGGCTCGGCGAGCCCGCCGGGCGTCCCCCAGCGGGGCTGTTCCATGGAAACAAATTCCGGATTATTTCATTTTTTTCCACCCGTTTTAATGGTTTGAATCGGGATTTAATGCTCCGGATGGACCCTGCAGAGGCGGAGCAGCTGCCCCTGGGCACCGCACCCCCCCCTCAGCATCTCGCTGTGTCCAAATAGTGCCCAGTGCGGGGGGCTGGGCGCCTCCCTGCTCTTTCACTGAGGTGCCCGGGGGGCAGCCCCACGGCTGATTCCCTCTGATTTGTTTGTTTGTTTCCAAGCTTTTCTGTAAATTAATTCATTTAGAGCAGCTTTTCCCCCTTGTATGGCTATATCCAGCCATCAGGCTTCTGTCTTCTTCAATTTGATCCTGGTGTAGGGTCCGGGCAGGGAGGCTGCCGGCAGCTGCTGAGCTTGTAGCGAGCGCTGAGGCAGGCCAGGTGGATTTTCTCAGCGCCACGTGGGGTGTCAGGTACCCTGGCGGTGTTCCTTTCGGAGCGATGTCACTTGCTGGGCAGGGACGTGACGGCTCCGGCGCTCCCTTGGAGCTTGAGTTCCCCACGTGTGTCAGTGGTGCCACGTGGGGCGGCTGGGAATGGGGAGAGCAGGGCTTGGGGGGCAGCAGTGCCCTGGTTGTGCTGGTGGGTGAGTGCCCGTGAGCTTCCAGAACTGATTGTAGAGAGTTGTGCTCCCTGCCCTTCCTTATTTAGTGCCAGAAAACCATCTCAGGGGGGGCTCAGTAAGGCTTCAGAGGGGCATTTTGAGAGAATTTCCTCCATGGCTCAGCTTTTACCAAGCTAAAACATACGAGAATTGGTCTGTGCTCGTTTTCTGAGCCAAAACTGGTCAGAAAACGAATTCCCAAAACCCTCGAGGGCTGCCTCAAGGAGCCTGACAAACGCAGCCAGGCGTGGCCGTGACGCAGGGTCGGGCAGCGATGGGTCTGCCCCATAAGGAGGGACATCCACGCCGTCCCTTTCCCCTCTCCACACCGTTTGGAGGTCTCGTTGTCCTCAGCAGGTGGGAAGGGAGAGGAGCAGGAGGCTTTGCGGGCTGCAGGATGCCTGCAGGAGCAGGGCTGCCTCGCACGAGCTGCTGGGCTTTTACTGATCTCGCCCAGCGGCTGCACCCCGCGCTCTCCAGCTTGCTTTTGCCAGCAGCTCTCGGCTCTGACGACAGAAGCAGAGCAGCCGCCTGCAGGAAGCATGAAGGGCTCCACAATTCCATGGCAAAACCCCCAGCATCGTGCTTTGGAGAGCCGAGCGGGCCGCCCAGCCGAGCCCCCTCTCCCTTCTGCCTGATTTCTGCCGCTCGTTTTAGTGCTTTATAAGGGAAACCAAAAACATGGAGGCTCCTTTTACGAGTTGCTCTCACTCCCATTCCCGAAGCTTTTGTCCAATTGGCTCCCCGGGCTCCCTTGGCACAGCCTCAGCTCAGGGAGGGGCCGAGGAGCTGCTGGGAGCTGCTGCCACCACACGAACGCACCGGGATCCCTGCCGGGGAGGGAACAGGAGCAGGGCTGGGGCTGGGAACAGCTCAGCAGCCCGGGAGGGGAATCAGAGAAGCCACAGGCTTCACCGAGGGTGGCAAATCCACTGTGACTCTTTTTTTTTTTCCTTTTGAATTCTGTTTGGACTTGTCCTGTGTGTGCTGAAAATGCAGAGTGTGTGCTGCAGGAGGAGTCAAGCTTTTTGGAAGCTCATCGCCAAACCATTTATTAATTCTTCTAATTATTTTTTTCTTGTACAGGTAGAAAAGGAGGCCACAAAGGCCGGGCAAGACAGTACACGAGTCCTGAAGAGATCGATGCGCAGCTCCAAGCAGAAAAGCAGAAGGCAAGGGTAGGTGCTTACTGTGAGAACTCCAGGCTTGATTTGCAGCTCACGATGTGAATTCTGAATACTGGTGCCTGGGGAGGCTGCAAGGTGGGATCCAGCCGAGCTCCTCCTGGAAGTGAGGCCAGGCTGACCGACCGTCAGCAATCTGAAGGTTAAAGGATGAGGACGATGGTTGCACAGCAGCTCTAAACATCTTTTCCTCCCGTAATTCATCATTCTGGTCTTCAGCATAAGCTCGTTCCTCACTCCTGCTCTGCAGCTAGGCTGTGGAGAAAAGGGGCTCACGCCCTGACAGCTTTCATTTCTTGAAAACAGCATATTTGACCCTTTTCTACTTTTAATGAACTAAATTCCTTTGACTTCTTTCTTTACACACGGTTTTCTTGTTTGTCTGTGGGAGAAGTACCAGATTTTTCTGGTGTGAGCTTTTTTTGTGCATTTTAACCCCCAGCACGGGTCTGTAAGTCCGCCTTCCCCTGCAGCTACTGGGCTGGCGTTACAAAAACCACGATTGCTTTCTGCAGCACTTGCTCTCTTGCGTTGCCAAATTATCCCATGAACGATGCCACTCACTGCTCTTCTCTGAGACTTCCTGAAAGTGCTGCCTAAGCCTGAATTCACGATTCCAGCTGAAACCTCACGGCACTGACTGCAGCGGGATAATTATACCCTGTGTAGGAAACACTGATGAGTAAATCCCAGAAAAAGATTACCCATCCAAGCTGCTATGAGCCATATTGTTGACTCCTTTTGAATGTTTTGACCAGCTGTAACTCGAGATGATTGCGTGGTTTGCTGCTTTGCCAGATATTCCGACTTTGTGTCACATTTCTTACCCTGTAACTCCTCTCGGTTTGTTTTCTGATTCCACCTTCCTGGCTTCATGCCATCCTTGCTGTTACTGGAGCCACTCACGGTTCTGCTCCTGTTTTCCAAAAGGAGTTCAGCTCCTTGCTTGCACGATGTCATTGACAAACTTTGAGCTCACAAGCCTTTCCTCCATCCAAGTTGTTAATAAAAATACCAAGTGGGAACAGAACAGAACGAGCCTCGGCAGGGCCCCACGTGAGATGTCTGTCTGCTTTTATAAAAACAAAAACACAACAACCCTCAGAGGACTGCTTTTTGAGGATTTTTTTCTGCTGTGATCATCCATAGCACATAGTGATGGTTACGTCCAGCCCAGTTTTATTAAGGGAAGTTTGTAAACACTTAAAATTAGTCCTCCTCCTGCCCATAGCCCCTCTGCTTTGCCGGTTGCTCTGGTTAGGGATATTTAATAATGGTAAAGCAAGCTCTTCACACCCGTGTTAGTTTCCCTAATCTTACCTTCTAATGATTTACAAATTAATTTCTAGACACTGATTAGTAAAAGCTGTGCTGGAAAGGCTGCAATTTCTTGTATTTCCACTAGAAACACCATTCTAGTTCATGTCTGGCAATTTTCTCTTTTTTTTTTTTATCTGGACCTAGGCTGGGATCCATCATGCCACATCTGAGTAGCTTCTGGTCCCTCAGAGACCGTGCAGTGGAAATTCAGGCCAAAATTCTCATGGAGATCCTTCATTTGGGGAAAGTAAAGTGCCAGTTCTGTCTTGTACAATGGTTTTCCTGGCCTGTTATGTAGAGAGAGCAGCAGAATTGCTTGGAGGAGATCTGTTGGGGCAGGTGATGCTCAGTGAACTGTGGTGAGAATGAGCTCTCGTTCTGATAGAGCGAGGCAGCCTTGGTGGGCCGTGTCAGGAGCAGCAGTGCTCGGAGCTGCACATCATCCCCCAAAATGATCTCGTTTAAGAGTACCTGGGAATTTTATTGACATGTTTTCTTCCTGTGATTTCTGTAGGAAGAAGAGGAGCAAGAAGAGGGAGGTGAAGGAGCAACAGGGGACCCCAAAAAGGACAAGAAGTCTTTAGATTCAGATGAGAGTGATGAAGATGACGAGGACTATCAGGTAGTGTTATTCTCAGGGCACGCAATGCATTTGCTTGGAGTTCTCTTTCAGAGCTATCTACAGTAAATCTTTTATGGAATAACTACTTCTAGAAGCCAGGAGAAAAAAAAAAAACAAAAAAACTTATTTGACTACATTTTGTCCTCAGAGTGATAATTTTTGTATTTTTAAGTGAAATGCAAAGGCAAGATCATCTTCAAAGAACAGCGAAGATGTTTGGTAGTTACAAATCCTGGCTCACAAATGGTTTTGCTATCTGGTGGTGAAACCACCTTGAATTCTACTTTTGGGGTGTGGTGCAGGGTATTTGATGTGTTCTGATGCAGCGTAATTTGGGGTATGGCAGGACAGAGCTTCTTACCTTTCCTCTTCTTCTTAAACCTTAGCAAAAGCGCAAAGGCGTGGAAGGGTTGATAGACATCGAGAATCCCAATCGTGTAATTCAGACAACCAAAAAAGTAACTCAGCTGGACCTGGATGGACCCAAGGAACTCTCGCGACGAGAGCGGTGAGTGTTCCTGCTGCCTTGGGGGGAGCTGGCGTGGCCCTGGGGTTTCACACATGCTGCTGGAATCAGCTTAGTGTGGAGAAGTGTCTCCCTGCTGCCTGTGCGTTGGTGTTTCAGGGAAGCCCTTAATCCGTGTTGCCCTCTAAAGCTGACACTGAGCAGCAGCAAAGAGTCAGGCAGGATTCACTTCATTTCAAAGTATCTCCTTACAAACTTTTCAGAATTCCTCTGTTTTCTGGGAGTAGCTGTGTCTACCCCGGGGCCCGGCAGCTTGGCCCGATGTGCTGAGTGAAGTTTGTTGCTGTGAAGCAGACGCAGGCTGTTCCTCTCCTGAAGTTTAATGCCAAAAATCAGATGTAACCAAAATCCATTAACCAAAGGTCACACTGGGGTCTACTCTAATCTTGCTCCAAGAGGTGCCCTAGTGGCAGATAGCGGTTTCCCAGACTCCTGGGTTCGTGGTGAAATTTGTGCCTGATGAGTAAGATGAGAAGCCAAGTTTCATCTCCTGGTTTCATTTATTTGGAATAGATCGTTTAAGTTTGATTAGTTGGGATAGATTCCTTCAGCAGAAGTACCCTTGAGGTGTACTTCTGGGAAAAATGTTACAGTGCTGCCTAGCCTGGGGCTAATTCATTTGACCTCGCTGTGTATCAGTGCTCTTATTTAGCTGAAGGTAGAAATTCCTCAGCTTCTCATCATCCCTGCAACAGATGTAACGCCCTTGAGAACTGCTGACAGGGTCCCCCAGCCTGTGCAGGCAGCCCAGCTCTGTACTCAGCTTCCTTCCCAGTCAGAAAGCCTCCCCTGGTGTCTGTCAGTACCTGGATGCTCACTGGGGTTCTGTAATCGTTGCTGTGTTTCGCTCAAACAGGGAGGAGATCGAGAAACAAAAGGCAAAAGAAAGATACATGAAAATGCACCTAGCTGGTAAAACAGAGCAAGCGAAGGCAGATCTCGCCCGACTAGCCATCATCCGGAAGCAAAGGGAAGAAGCTGCCAGAAAGAAAGAAGAGGAAAGAAAAGGTTAGAGAACAATTAATCCTATTACTTCTCTTTTTGCAATGGCTGTGCTGCCGTGAGGTATGGTTTCTGCTATCACACATCGTGGTCCCTCATCTCCTGAGACCGCGTGGTGTTGCTCAGTGTCCTCGTGACTCCTCTCATCAAAACTAGGTTCAGCTGGCTCATTCTTATCAAGCTCTAGGGCATCTGAATAGGGAGCAGGCAAGAAGAGAAGGGAATTGCTCTTGATACCCACATTGTCCGCAGCCTCCCAGGCAATGCTAGCTCTGATTTGGGGATTTATTGAGTTCCTTCTGCTGGATGCACGCTGGGGATCCAGGCTGCACGGTGAATTCGCAGCTCTCCTCCCCTGTTGGGATTTCCTCTTCAGCTCTGATAGACGAGAACCAGAACCCTGATGGCTGTGTTCCCAGTGACATCCACAGGGAAATTTGTGCGTCAGCATCGGGGTGGTTTGGGGAAGCCTGAAGGGAAGCCAGGGACAGGGAGGGCTGCTCCCACTTAGCCTGGAGGGAGCAGGACTTAGTGGGGAGGGTCAGAACCTTTCCCCAGTTACTTTGCTGCACGTGGCTAGCAAGAATTCAGTCTCAGGGGCTGCCACCAGCCCCGATGTGTGCCATGAAACGCTGACACCTCTGTTCTTTCCCTCCTCCAGCAAAAGACGAAGCGGCGATGGCAGGTAAAAGACTGCAGTCCCTGTCCCTTAACAAGTAAGCGCGGGACGTGCAAGAGGAGGAATCGCCAGGAAGCCGTGCCTGGTGCCTGCCAGGAACTCTGTCGTGTTGCACACCACAGGTGCCACGCAGGGTACACTGCGGCACCGAAGCCACCTCCACCTCCAAGAGACACTGACGATGTGTTTGTCTTCATCCTGGCACAGATTTCCATTTGGGGTTAGGGGCAGCTGCTATCTTCGGTGCAGAACTGTGCTGAACAGCAATTCTCTGTAACAGTTTGAAAACCTGAATGTTTTTGCTGTTTTTAGGATTAAGAACTCATAGATTGGGGTGGGGTTGGGGGGGGAGGGGGAAGGGGCGGGAGGGAGCTGTGCGGGAGGGGAGATGCTTTAAATATTAGATTGCAAGAAAATAGATTGTGGGGTCATTGCGGGGTGGGGCATATGGGGTGGGGAACTTTGACTTGCTCATGAAAACCCAAAGGATAACGTATCTGGGGAATCCTTTCGGGCAAACGGCCCATAAAATTTCGCTGCAGGGTGTTGCAGTATAACCGAGAGCCTGACTTCATGGACATCTGGAGTGCTGTTCCTTCCCGTTTTCATCCCTCCTCTCTTGCAGCCGGTCTCCCCCCTTTTCCCTCCTCTTCATTATTTTGTTTCTTCTCCTGATTAGGGATAGTGCCAGTTTTTAACCACATCATCCTTTGTTTAAAGGAAAAATAAAAAACATCATTAATTGTATCAGACCCAGATGGGGAAAAAAAAAAAAGCTCGATAAAGGTGAAAAAGGAAAAAGAAACGACAAAACTTGTATATTTGGCTGATTAAAATGTAAATTATAACTGCTCTCTCCTTGTCTCGTGTGTGTGTGTGTATGTAAACGAAGCCGCGTGTTCAGGCGGCTGCGATGCACGATGCGGTGACAGCCTGGCGGTCTGGTGACTTCTGTGGCTGCTGCTTTGCCGTTTCTCTGCTCTCGGTGGTGGTGAATTTGGCTCAGGGTTCGGGAGCTCTATCAGCAGGTGCAGCCTGAAGGCAAAAAGCTTTTCCTCTCCATCTCCTCTTGCACAATCTGGTTGCGGCAGTGGAGCAAACGATTTTACCTTCGGGCTGCCGCCTGGCCCAGTCGGTGTGGCAGGAGGGACAGCTGAGGATGCAGGATGACAAATGCCACCATTTATTCTGTGTGACCCCACCATCCGTGCCCATCTGCAAGGACTCTGCTGGGAGGATGTGACAGAGGGATGTGCTGTGGGGAACCTCGCTGTGAGCTCAAACCACAGGGGGAATTTACTTTTTTGGTACAGGGAGGCTGGGTCAGCTCTGCACGGGGATAAAGGCAGGAAAAGGCATGAACCCAAAGCATGATTTGAGAGGAACTCTTGCCTGGCCACCTTTTCCGAGCACTTAATCTCTACTTGATGCCCTGTGCCCTTGCCCTTTGTTTACCACCTGCAATCAAACCCTGTTTTGAAATGCACAAGTATTTATCCACTTTTCTTACAGCTTCTGAAAGGATCCCGTCTCCTTGGTGCTCAGGAACAGCAGAGAGGCTTTGTTTTCCTGCTATGATGAGGGACTGCTGGTATCCTGAGTGAGAGCTGGATTTAGCAGCTGGGCACACTGCAACCAAAGGTGCCAGCCGGCCGGTGATACCGAGCTAGAAAGGGCCAGGTTGGTTCAGCTTAAAAAAATTTAAAAAAGGAGCAAAACCATTGTTGGATATACACAGGAAAAAAAAAAAATCTCTGCTTTATTTTTTTTTTTTTACTTCTTTAAGCGACGTATGACCAGCATCAGTTAGGATGGTAACAAAAATAGTAAAAAATAACAACCGAAACCACCTTTATCTTCGTGTTAGAGCAGCCGCGGGGCTGGCTGGCAGCCGGGGGGAGCGCGGGCGGCTCGCGGGGGGCTCGCGTGGCGCGGGGACAAAGCAGGCAGAGCAGCGGAGCAGGGGTGGGCTGGCGGCCGGACACCTTCCCGGCTGCCTCCTTCATTTGATTTTGAGATCCTTCAGCGCCGACTCCAGGCTCTGGAACGAAACGAGGGGTCGGTGACCGCCTGCGGGTGGCTTTCCAAGGCAAGCAGAGCCCTGGGGGTGGGTGGGGGGTAAAAAGGGGGCTGTCCCCTGGGGTGGCTGCTGCTGGAGGACACAGGAGGTCCCAACTTGGTCTTGTTTAAGCCCATTTTTCAAGCCCGAGGGCAAAATTGAAGCCAGGAGAGGGTGTCTCAATCCCTGCACAAGGGGATGGATGCCCCAGCCCTGCTGGCTACACCCCCGTCTAATGGTGAGCAGGAAAAGTGCCCCCCACCAAGCCCCAGCTCGAAGGAGATCCCAGCCAGGACCCCAGGGACACGACGCCCCCTTCCTGAGCGCACCGAGGGGGCACTGATTGCAATTAGAGCTCTGGCTGATGAGGGTTTGGCTCTGGATGCTCCCAGCTTGGGGGGGGGGATCATGGGGACACCTCACCTTGACGTCCCAGATGCTCATGCCGCCGTCCATCCCCGTGGTGCAGAACTGCGAGCAGTTGGCTTTCCCCCCCGCCAGCACGGAGATCTGGCTGTGGGGCACAAAGAGGCAGCGGGGGGGTCAGCCTGGACCACCCCAAATCCCCCCAGGGATCCTCCAGGGATCACAGGAGCACATCCAGGGGCTGATTCTCTGGGTTCAGCACCCTCAGGGTGACCCAGAGCCAAATCTGTCCCCCCCAAAGCCCTCCCCGTTGTGCACCTGATGCTGTTCTTGTGCACGGTGTCCAGCGTGGCGTTGGAGGTGTCCGAGCTCGCTTTCTTATCCAGGTTCTGGAAGCGCTCGCGGGCGGTGAGGCCGCGCTGGGAGCTCTGTTTGGGGACGTCCAGCTTCCCCCCGAAGGTCAGCGCGCCCTGGCCCTCCTCGTAGGTGAACAGCATGGGGTAGCAGTCGTGGCCCTGGTGGGGGGGGGAGACACAGCCCCGCTCAGCACCACCCCGGTGTGATGCCCACCCTCAAAGCCAGCCCGGACTCACCGCGGCCACCAGGCTGTTCTCGGTGATGAAGGTGACGGCCAGGAGGGGAAGGGTCTCGGTGCAGAGGGAGGCGACGCTGCGAGGGAGAGCAGTAAAAAGGGAGATAAGGCCCTGTGCTGAGCCTGGCACAGCTCATGACACGGGTGGAAGAGCCTCCTCCTCCTCCTCTTCCCTCTCCATCCAGCCCTGCTCGGTCCCCACCTCCCCATGCCACCTCCATCTCCCCATCACTTTTTGGGGAGCCCAGCTCCCCAAACCCACTCAGCCACAAATCCCCACACCCTATAGCTCACCCCATGGTGGCACCCACTGGCAAAACTCCCCCCTACGAGCCCCTCCCCGTGCCCCCCAGCCCTGCTTACGCCATCTTCTTGTTGGCGTCGGCGAGGCAGAGCGTGCTGTCGTGGCTCACCCAGGCCACGCGGGTGCCGCTGGCCGAGAAGCAGATGCTGTGCACCCACCCGCAGCTGCTGCTCGACTCGAACATCAGCTCCCCAAAGGGCATCTTGGAGCCCCACGGCGTGGGGCTCGGCCGCTCCTCCACCTCCTTGATGTAGGCAGAGAAGATCCTGGCAAGGGGAAAGATTGAGCCGTGAGGTTCCCCCGGCCTCTGTCCCATGCTGTGTTCGGGATGGGACCCCCCCGTGCACCATCCCTGGGGTCCCCCCTCGCTGTCCCCCTGCCCCTCACCGGCACTTGAAGTCGCAGGAGCCGGCGGCCAGGAGGACGTTGTTGGGGTGCCAGTCCAGGCTGAGCACTGTGGAGCGGATGGGCTTCTTGATGTGCTTGCAGACCCACCTGCGGGGAGAGCAGCGGCGTTGGTGTCCCCCCAAAAATAGCCCCCGGGCACCCCCCCTGGGCTGGGGGAGGGCTGGGGGTGGTCAGGGCTCTGGTGTCCCCCCAGGAACTGCTCTGGGCCACCAGGCTGTGACAGCAGCCAGGCACGGGGAGCGCAACAACCCCAGCAGTGGGTTTTGGGCACCTCTCTCCATCTCCCCTGTCAGGCTCCTCATCTACGTCCTCCTCCATCTCCCCCATCTCCTCCTGTATCACCTCCACATCCTCGTATCTCCTACCACCCAACTCAACCCAACCCAACCCAACCCAACCAACCAACCCAACCCAACCATCTCCCATCCATCCATCCATCCATCCATCCATCCATCCATCCATCCATCCATCCATCCATCCATCCATCCATCCATCATCTCACCCACCCACCCACCTCCCCACCCCTCTCCCCACCCACCTATTTCCCCCGTCCCACCCCAAAGGACCCCACGAGCCCCCGGCCAAGCCCCACCAGTCGTTCTCCTGCTCGAAGTAGCAGATGGAGATGAGCCGGGAGCCGCTGCCCACGGCGAATTTGTTCTCCTTGGGGGACCACTTGACGCAGCGGGCGGCCCGGTTGATCCGCAGGATGACCAGGGTGGGCTTCCAGACGTTGCCCTTCAGGGTCCAGACGTAGGCGTTGCGGTCGGTCCCGCAGGTCACCAGCCGGTTGCTCTCAGGGGCCCAGTCGATGCCTGGAAGGCAGAAGGGGAGGTGGTGGCACAGGGGGAGCCGTGGGGATGGGATGGGGACGGGATGAGGATGGGCCACGTGGGGATGGAGGCCACCTGAAGGCAGAGATGTTCTGCCTGCTCTCTGACCCCGAGTCCCTCTCTGTCCTACTCCTCCATGCCATGCCATGCCTCCCACCTCTTCAGATCCCAACCCATCCCATCCTATGCCATCCCATCCATCCTGTCCCATCCCAACCCATCCCATCCCTCCCACCTCTTCCCAACCCATCCCATCCATCCTGTCCCGTTCCATCTCATCCTATCCATCCCACCTCTTCCCATCCCATCCTATCCTATTCCATCCATCCCATCACATCCATCCCACCTCTTCCCATCCCATCCATCCTGTCCCATCCATCTCTTCTCATCCCATCCCATCCTGTCCTATCCTATCCCATCCCTCCCACCTCTTCCCATTCCGTCCCAACCATCCATCCATCCCATCCTATCCCATTCCATCCATTCCATCCCATCTTATCCCATCCCTCCCACCTCTTCCCATCCCATCCATGCCATCCCATCCATCCTGTCCCATCCCGTCTCATCCCATCCCTCCCACCTCTTCCATCCACCCCACCCCATCCCATCCCCAGGCACCCTCTGACCCCCTGGATCAGGCCCAGGAGCACCACACTCAACCACCTCCCTCTCCACCCTCTCCGCCACCCCATCCCGAATCCTCTGCCGCCACCGTGTGGGGCTGGGACCTGGCCGTCCCCATCCCCGTCCCCATCCCCTCAGCCCCCGGTTCTCACCCGTCACCTGCCCGTTGTGCTCCTTCAGCTCGTGCACCTTGCTCCACTTTGCCCCGTCCTTGCGGTAGATGTGCACCTCGTGGTTGTTGGGGCACAGGGCGATCTCTGGGGGGGGGAAACAGCGGCCGGGGCAGGGCCCCCACCGGGGTCACAGCTCTGCTGGTGGCGGGGACAGGCTCCCTGTGTCCCCAGTGTCCCCATCACCCCGGCTCGGTGGGGTTTGCCCGGCCCCATGGGCCCTAAAGTGGCGATGTGGTCCCAGGGGACCCGCAGGATGGGATGTTTTGGGATGTTTTGGGATGGCTGCGGGTGCTCAGCCTGGCCCCATCCTGCCCCGCCTGCCCGGCACAGAAAGCCCTTTTTGTTCTCTCCCACATCCCCCGCTCCGAGGCCGGGAAATGCCATCGGCCATGAATCACCCACGGAACTCCTCCGCTCCTCTCCGCTCTCCTCCGCGGCGCTTCGCCATCCCTCCCCGTGCTGACACCCCCTGCGTGGGCTCCGTCCCATCATTGGGACCGAGGCGGGGAAGGGGGGACACCTCCCGTCCCCAAAACCCATCCACGGCAGGACCCACGTCCCCAAATCCAGCCCCACACCATCCTAGGGGACATCGCTCAGCCCCGGCGGGGATGCGGGGTGCCCGTGCCCACCCCGGTGTATCTGATGATTCCCTGAGGATTTGGGGATTTGGGCCCCGGTGTGAGGAGGTCCCAGTGGGGTCGGGGTCGGTACTTACGGGTCCGGTCCTTGTTCCAGGCGTGGCAGCTGATGGGCTCCAGCAGGAAGCTGTGGTAGGCCATGGCGAGCTCGCTGCGGGGGGGACGAGAGCTCAGGATGCGGGGACAACCCCAGGGGACACATCCCCTTTCCACCCCCCAAAAAATAATTCCCCTGGAAGGGGCTTCCCAAGCTCACCGCCTGCCCAAGCAAGGCCAGGACCGACCCCCCCCCAGCCCCACAATCCCTGGCAGGAGCGCAGAGAGGCCAGAGGAAGCGGGGGCTCCCTGATAACGCCCTGATAACGCAGGAAGGCAGCGAGGGGACGGCTCCAGGCCACTTCCTAACCACGTCGGCACCTTGGCACGGCCAGCAGCCACCCGGGCACCCCGAGACCCCAATGCCAGCCCCGAGCCCACCGTGGGGTCCCCAGGGTGCTCAGCATCCCCTCCCTCTGCCTGCTCCACCACGCTCCCTCCCCGCCTCTCATTTCGGGACAGCCAAAGACGCCGGGCGGCGGAGGCGCCTCCGTCCCATCCCGTGACTAATCCCTTCCCCTGGCCGCTGCCAGGAGCTGTGGGATGGGGCGGTGGCACGGTGCTGAGCTCCCCGTGCCTCCCAGAATGGTGCTGGGGGCAGCCCCTTGGCCACGGGGCTGGGGTAACGCAGCGAATTTGGGGGGCACCCAGGCAAAATGTTAAGGGGGGAGGGTTGGTCGTGGGGGTTTTGGTGTTTTGGGAACGCTCCCAGAGCGTTGCTGGTTTTATTCCAGCAGCTGAAAACCTGGCAGGGGAAGGAAAGAAATCCCTCCTAGCTCCGTCCCTTGGGCGGAAAGGAAATCTGGAGCTCCACCACCTGAGAAATCCCGGTGGCGATGCGGGGTGCACACCCTGCCCCTACACCCCCCCCAAAACACCCGACCCCACTGGGGATGGACGTGGGCATCCCCCTGACCCAGCCCCACGGGTGCTGTGGGGTTTCAGGCACCCATGGGTGGGTGCAGGCCCCCTCCTGGAGCTCCCCCCTCGGTGCCTGTGAGCCTGGGAGGGTTTTTTTGCCCAGCTGAGCACCGCCACCAGCACCCGGGCGTGAGCCTCGCTTGGTGCCCCCCAGCGCACCCCGGTGCAGCTTCACCCCAAAAACCTCGCACTGAGCCCAGAGGAGACCTGGCAGCCCCTGGGGGGATGGAGCCGCACCACGAACACCGAATAAAAGCGATGGACGGGGGCCGTGCTGCTGGATTGCAAAAGATCCGGAGCAGAAAAATGTGCTGCATGGGGCTGACAGCGCTCCGGGGCGGGAGGCAGGGGCGCGAGGCATCGATTTCCTGCTGAAATGTGCTGTAAAGAAACAGCAATGCCTTTTTTTTTCTTTTTTTTTTCTTTTTTTTTTTGGTGGTGGGTTTGGATGCTCCGAGGCCTGGGAAGCTGCCTGCTTCTCCCTCCCTCCTCCTCGCTGGGCTCATTTTTCACGCTCAGCCCCAGCTCTGCCGGGCAGGGCTCCGCTGCCGAGCCGTCGGAGCGGGGAGCGGAAGCTCTCAAGAAAGAAACTCGGCTTTCGGCCGCGGCTGCACCCGTCAGCAGCTTACGTCTCCTTCCCGCAGCGGCCGGGCTGGCAGCCTCGCTGCTCCCCTGCTCACGTCCCAGGCAGAGCTGTGCAGGGAGATGCCCCAAAATTCAGGGCTGCCCTCGCCCCCTGCTCCCCCTGCTCGGACGCAGAGGCTCTGGAGGGAGGGAAGGGGTTTTTTGGGGAGAACAGAAGGCAGGACCGGGGCTGCCGCAGCTGGGTTATCTTCCCCACTCAGCCCCGAGGCGCCGAGAAGTTGGGAAACATCCTTGGAGGAGATAACCAAACCTTGGCAGGGGCCGAGCAGGGAGGAAGCCGCGCGCTGGAGCTGCTCCGTTTTCACTTCTGCCTGAGCCACCGAGCCTGGCGTGCAGCCACCGGCCCCCCCCAGCACCCCCCATCCTCTGCCAAGCCCCGAGGCCGAAGCACGGCCCCCCCTGAGCACCCTTCTCCTCCCCGTGGTGCCTGCGGGGTGTCACTCATCCTGGCACAGCCATCCCAGGGGGGACACCCGTCCCCGCGCCTCGCTGTCGGTGTGGGTACCCCAGGAGCCAGCCCGGCCTTGGGGGAGCCATCGATGCCCCCCAGGCATGCAGGGGGCAGTGAGGGGCAGCTCCGACCCTCCTCTTCCTCATCCTGGGCAAAGCTGGAGGCTGCTGGTGGTCGGGGAGGCGAGGACACATCGCCCCCAGCTCCTGCTCTGCTGCCCCCAGCCCCTCCAGGGGCACCCTCCCCAGCACCCCAAACCTCCCCAGCCTCAGACAAGACACCAACCCCCAAAACTCGCCACCAAAGCTGGCAACAACCCCCCGCAACCACCACCACGGGGACAAAACCCAGCGGCGAGCGCTGCCTCAACCCACCCCAGCCCCAAATTGGCTCCATCCCATCAGGGCTTCGCCCCCTCCCCAAATTCAGCAGCCGGGGCGCGAGGTGCCCCCGGGCGCAGCCGCACGCACCCGGCTCTCCCGACAACCTCCCCGCTCCTTACCTCGGAGTTCGTGGACTCTGGGCAGTCGACACGAACCGGGCAGCAGGCAGGGAGCGAGCGAGCGAGCGAGGGGGAGTTGCTGGCTGCCCCGCCGAGGCAGCCCGACTTCCCTTTTCCTCTCCGAGAAACGCAACCACTTCCTCAACGTGGGCGTTGGGGGAGTGCGGAGCTGCTCGGCGGCCGCCCTGCCCCTGCCAGCACCGAGGCCTCTCCGCTGCACGTGGACGTGGCTGGCGGCCACGCTGCCGCCCCGGGATGCTCCTGGAGATGCAGATCCTGGAGATCCCACCTTGTGCCAGAGCCCACCCGTGGGGAGAAGCGCGTGGCAGTGGCGCACGGGGAGGTTTGGGGCTCGGCAGGACCTCGCCGTGCTGGGTGCCGGTTCCTGCATCCCGCTGGGCGCAGCGGGACCGAGGCGGTGGCACCGTGCGCCTACGCCCCCCCTGCACCCCTTTATTTTTTCTCCTGTTTCAGGGCCAGCTGGTTTCAATCCCGTTCTCCGGGAGACTCCTAATTAAAGAGCTGGGAAAGAAGCGAGGCTTCGGCTCCTTGCTGCCCTGCTGCAAGCTGGGTGAAGGCACGCACGGGGACGCGCTCCCCTCTCACCCCAAAAGTAATCGGGGAGGGGATGATCGCATTGCAGAACCTGGACAGCAGCACATCGGGGTCTCACGGGGGGAGGACAGGGTCCTGGTGGCATTTCCCAGCTGCAGGAGGTGGATGTGATAACCTCGTAGTTGTTAAACCACAGAATTAATCCCCACATTACAGGTTAGCCATAAGTAAAAGCTCTGCAGGGTGGCACTGAGCAGGTAACTCATCTGTCCCCTGGTCCTAAAGCCCATTAGCCCCCTTCCTGAAGTTTTTCCTTCTGCCTGCAAATTTCCTCCAGTCCTCGCATGGTTATGAACTGCTCTGAATCCACCCTCGACCAGGGGAGTTCAGGCTTTTCCAGCATCCCACTGCTCAGCCCTGCAAAGCCTTGCGCCAAGAGCAGCAGCTCTCTGAGCAGGACAGGAGGGGACAGGAGGGGACCTCACTGCCCAGCAGAGAGGAGCATCACCCTCACCCCAGCACCGCCTGCAGAGCACGTCCTCATCTCCCGTGGCATTTCCTCGCCGCTTCTTGAGGCTGCTCCTGCTGTGGCTCTTCCCTGAGCCGCGCTGATGAGCACAGTGAGCAGCCTGCACCGGAGACCCACGGGCTCCGAGCGCTGCTTGGGCTTCCCCGGGGTTCGGCCGCCCACGGGGGATTCAGCAAGTGCTGCCGAGCCCGGGGAGGAAGGAGCAGCCCTGCTGGATCTCTCCCCAGCTCCCACTCGAGGTCTGACTAAACCACGTAACTGCTTTCACCACCGCCTCCTCGAGCAGAAGGATCCTCCTGCGCCCGCTTGTCGTGGAAAGCCTGGGGCCTCTGCAGGAACACCCCCTGGGCAGACAGGGGAGATGCCAGAATGTTTTTTTTTTTTTGCTGCAAATGATTTTGGAGGGGGGAAAAAGGGATGAAAAGCGGCAGTAATTCCCCATCTTTTTGTTTGGAGACGCAGAGTTTTCAGACAGGCTCCTGGGAACAGTCTCTGGCATCCCTGCTCGCGCGCAGCCCCGATCCCTGCCCCTAACAGTCTGCTAGCTGGCGCGGAGCAGCGAGCATATGCAGCCAGCAGCCAGCCTGTAATTAAGACTGCAAAACCACCAGCTTTCTTGTGAAGTTGCTTTCAAGGGCACCGTTAACCCCAGCACATACAGCAAGCACGTGCTAGCGAGCCTGGTGCTGCAGCTAGCTAAAATGCAGGGGTGAATCTTCACCATGCTGGACACGAGGACACCCCCAGGGGGTTAGAGATGAGGGAGGAAAGTGAGAAAACGGCAGAGGCCAAACAAAGCAGCTGCCTTCACGTGGGGTGACAGCAGGACATGCTGCCAGGCATCACCTCCAGCCCTCAGCCAGCACACAAGGTGCAGAGCTCTTCCCTCCCCACCCACGGGACGGTTTTAAGGTGAAATAACGCCTCAAGTGATGGTTGTTTTTACTCCCCTCGCTCTGTCCTTTGCTAACATAAAGATCTCCGCTCTGGTTTTAATCGCAGATTTCTAGCGGAGCCGTTTCTCTCAGACAGTTACCTAGGGCAGTTTCATCAAATGTCAGTTTGGTGGCTCCTTTTACCTTCTCTGGCTCGTTCATGCAGAAAAAGAACACGGCAAAATTTAGAGACCCCTTTTCTTCACCATCTCTTTAGATGATTTTTTTTCTCTTTTCTATTATTTGAGCCATATCTTTGAGAACACAGTTTTTACTAGATTTCTTGGAAATTAAACAGCACACATTCAAAAATGACTTCAGAAACAAAATCACTACTTCCTGTGAGATTTAAGTGTCTACCACTGTCTGCAGAGATGAACAAATCCAAGCCCATGCCCTCTGTCCATCCTCCAAGGCTGGCAGTGTCACTTTGATCCAGAAGACATTTAACTCCATTAGTGCTGTGTCCTGGCTGATAAACCCAACGTCCCCCAAATCATCGTACACAGCAGACCACGAGACTGCAAGCTGAGTAAGCAGTTAAAACAGCCGTTATTTTGCATTTAGAAAAGAGAGGAAATTGCAAAGCCACATTTGATTGCCAGGGGAAGAAGGTGGGAGACAAAAGAAAACCGAAAGGAAAATAATCCGTGCCCTGCATGCAACAAAAGCTACACCTGAAAAGGATGCAGCTCTGTGAGGGACGTGGTTCACTCAGAACACGAGCAGTTGTCAGCTTTGTGAGCCTGCCTGCCACCCTTCCTCTTCAATCACTCAGAGCTAAGAAACGAGCAGTGTATGAAGAAACACTCCGGTTCCAGAGGAAGTGGTAAAATTTAGTCATTGGGTTGTGTTTTTT